GTCAATTTGGTCTTTCAGTACTTTCACATCGCCCCTTGTACCTCCATGTTTTTTGACCCAGTACTCAATATCGTGCAACACATGGTTCCTGCAGAAAACTCGGCTAATGTTAGGAAACCTCCTCTTCAAGGCCCCAACAATTCCTTTTTCTCTGTCTACAGTGACAGGCACTTTCTGGAATTTTTTAGAACCCATCCCAAGTTTCCCCAGAATATCAACCAGAAACATTTCATGATGCTGCATGAATTTGCGCTCATGCAGCATGAAGCCTACAGGAAATACAGGGTCATTAACTAGAGAAGTGTTTCTCATGGCGAGCACAGAAACATAAAAGTCACCCATCTGAAAGGTTGTGTCATAGCTATGGATTTGAGGGTAGCTGAATGTAATGGCATCATCCAAGTTGGCACGTGCCAAATCCAATATATCAGGCATCCCAGCAAAAACTAGAAGATTGGGAAAATTAGAAATGTACCAGACAAAACCTGGAAGCTGGTACGCCAGTTCATGGAGACTGAACATTTCATCGTGGGAAATTCTTTGTATATTCCTGCTAGCATACACTGTGTTCTGTACTTGCTTTGACATTATGTGGGCAATTCACAGGCATGTGTTCTACACTGCTACTGCAGGCTTTGGATAAGGTGGACCGATATACAGTATGTTAGATGGAGCTTGCCCATGGTCATTGTGAAGGATGTGTGTGAAAACCTCTTTTTTGGAAGGAATAAAAATTCTTTCTGTTTTTGCATTGCCATGTTTCCTTGGCACGTGCACACTCTCATCCCCCAGGTAGTGAATCAAAAATAAATTTGTCGCCAAATTATCTTCTTCTTGCTGTAGTAAGCAGTACACATTCTTTTTAAATTCTGATGACCCCTTGTCATATTGAGGTGTCCTAATATGGTAATATCGCTTCATCACTCTTCCACCATATTTTTTAATGTTGTTATAATTTGACCCTTTCTGTTTCCACAGCATTTGGTCAAAACGAAAATCCATGCTAGATCTTCCTCCCTTCAGACTCCTATATAGGTATACATCACCCCCCTTTGGCTCCAGGGGTGGTTCATTGGAAATGAAACCTTTGTACCTTTCGGCATTAAGAAGAATGGCCTCTATTTCAGCCAGCGTAAACTCGGACTGTTTTCGCATGAAAGACATAATTTCTCAGTTCGTCACCACAACTACCACAATTATTGAGAGATTAGCCTTGAGAGTGGCTGTTGAATGACAGTATTTTGAGAATATGTCTGTTATTAAGGACACTATGGTAAAATATTACCCTAGTAGCCTCTTAAAAGGCTGTTGAGAGATGAGCCTTGAAAAAGGCCGTTGGATGACAGATTTTGACGAATTACAAGAATAGAACTATGACAATATTGTAATATTATGGTATATATGTATAATGTTTGAATAAATAAATGTGTATATATGTGTGTGTATGTGTATATATATATATATAAAATGACTACTATTATTATATTATAATTATTATAACTACTATAAATGGCACCAATAAAATGTAAATCTAAAGTGGCTGTTAAGAGATGAGCCTTGAAAAAGGCTGTTGGATTGAAATTGAATTTGCACTGCTAATTTGTAAAGAATTTCGGGACGGTGCGAATAGGAGGACTGTGTCTTATCGCTGCTGGCGAAGTCTTAAATAGTTGAGTCCGTTATTTCGCTTAATTTCATTGGCCCGTTTCAGTCCTTTATTTTTTGTGATTGGCCATTTCCTTACTTCACCTAAAATTAAGCGTTTTTCCCTACCTGGAAAATATAGGGAAGCAATGTAAACATATATTAGAAGTTTAATGGTGAAAGTGTTTATGACCTGATATATGTGTGAGAAGTTTGGTGATTTTTGGTGGCTGTCTTGGTAGTTTAAATTACATTAAGCCTTTTCCTTATAATAATGGGCGTCAATGGAGGGGAAACCGCTTAACGTAGTATAAAGTCCATATTCTTAGCATTTAGGTTTAGATTCTTTGTCAGGTGAAAGTCTTTATGACCAGATGTGTGTGTGCGAAATTTGGTGATATTTGGTCGCTATTTTGGTACATTAAACCACATTAAGCTTTTTCACATTAAGCGTTTTAGAATGTCCCTGCTAATTTAAGCAGCTTCTCTTTTGTATACAGATCTAATATGTCCTCCGACGAAGAAGCAATAAACTCTTCCACCGTCGGTATTGTACAACTGTGCGCAACGCTAGAGACTAAAAGCAAGTGCGTAACGCCATACACAAGCCCTCAACTTACCTACCAAATACGCGACCGACCTCTTTATGCAGTTACTAGCGGTGGGAAATTAAGTGCAAGAACCCAGTAGGGAGAAAAAGTAACCAGAAACTGGCGACTCCTCTTACACCATGGATACACTCCCGAGACAACTGCTCAAACCGCTTTCACCGCAACACTAAACACACCCCCCCCCCGACGCAGTCCAAAAAGAACAGCGCCGCTCCACTAAACCAGGAACATACCTTGCTTACAAACGCTAAATTTCCAAAATCCAATAAACAGTGCCAAAGTCAGACACTTAATTGCCTCAATCGTTGCGCACAGAAATTGAGCTTTCAAAAAGCACAATTTAACACATAAAAACGCTACAAACACACTGCGACTCTATATATAAAAAAAAAAAAAGACATTAGAACGAAATGGACGAGCCCCCATTTTGTCATGACCCGGCTCAGAGGCCATGGCAAAATCGACGGACGCAGTGTTGAAAGCCAAAACAATTTATTACATTAACTACTACAAACAAAACCACAATGGTCTACATAACCAAAGAAGTGTAACAAGGAGCGTGTAACGAAGCAAACAAAAAGAAAAAACAACAAGAAAGCTCTCCCAGATAATGGAGTAGGAGTGGTTTTAAGGAAATTAGGACACCGGGCCCAGGTGTCACCAATTCCACAAAGGGGCTGCGGCCACACCTACAAGGACAACACACAAAAAACAAAACAAGACAACCGCAGGCAAAGCCAGCAGACCATCACACATGGCACACGCATACGTCTGTGCTGCTGAAGCTTTGCGCCAGCATTGCCAGTTTGGGCAGCGAATCTCATACCTGTGTTCATGTCAGCGTTGTTCACGGTTTGAATACGTGGTCATGCGGATATTTAGAATGTGAATAGCGATCTTCAGATGAGAGGGGTACTACAGGCCCTTGATGTAGGTAAAACAAAGGTGCAGTGGCGGCGCCAGAGGGGTGTCCGGGGTGGCACTGGACACCCCTGACATCCGATTGGCCACCCCGGGTGCCACCCCAAAATTGTATTTGCTGCTGGCAGTTCCTGATGCTGATTGACATCTCATTTGTCTAAAGAAGTTTTTGAATTTAACAGGTGTTACGCTGCTCAAGCTATTTTCAAATCAAAGACGAGCCGAAGACAAGAGCATGGTTTCAAGGTAAGACAAATAATAAAACATCATATTTGAAATACGTTTTATAGTTTATTATAAGGTTTGTTTGCTGAGTAACGTTTATTATCCGCTGTGTAAGTTATCGAAGCGCCGACGACATCAGTTAACTTATTAATGAGATTAGAGAGATCAATTCGCACTTTAGACAGTTAACGCTATACTTCATCTGTGCTAGTATTACATGCACATACCATGTATGTAAGTTATTATATTTAATTTACGATGCTCAAATATTTTGCTAATATGGGGAAGTAATTGTAATTAATTTGTGAGTAAAATTTAGTTGAAATGGAATAGCCAGCTCATATACTTTCTTCAGAATAATGTTATTTAGATCGGTTGCTGATTTTAATGTGCAGGTATGATAATGGATATTTTTAATTAGGATAAATATGTTTCTAACTGGATCAGATACACAGGGTCAATTAAACAAGGTTCTTATGGTTAATACAGCGGTGATTTTAGAGCAGAATAAGAGTATATCAATTTAACAAGAGTTCTGTTATCTTATGTCTCGTTTTCGTGTTTCACATAAGGATAGAACGTTAGACTTTCACATGCTGTTCATCATAAGCTTGGAGCAGTTTTGGGTGGGGTGGGGGGCGTTAGATATGGAGATGGTTAATGGCTGCATGGAAAATAAAGTCATGATTTGCCACCTAGTGCCGACTTTGAAAATAGATTACTTATATTGAGAGAAGTGGTTTGGGAATATTGTTTTTTATGGAAAGTTGTGAGCGAAGGCTTGTTATAAATGTCTTTAAGGGTAACATGTTAATGTTACCCTTAAATGTTAAAGTTTGCTTGATGCGGCACATGAAAGGTTATAGTGTAAACAAGGTGACAGCCAAGTAGGTGCCACATTGACGAGGTCAATTCATTTCATAGGGAGGAGAAATCTTAGGGTATGTTGCCGTCAGAAGTCACTAAAGATGAAGGACCCACTTAGGGGTTGGACAAGGGGAGGAGAATGGTGTGTCTGAAGAGTATAAATGTTGGGGTGTTTTGCGTGTGACCCTAAGAAACCGGTACGGCTGACAAATGTTAGAAACGCTTCGAGTAAGTATCGCTTTACATTAGGTGTGTCAAACTGCAGTCCTGGAGGGCCGCAGCCCTGTGTAGCTTAGTTCTTTCCCTGTTCCACCACAAATGATTCAGCTCAACAGCTACGTGGTAATTAGCACAAGAAGTTGAATCAGGTGTGTTAAACGAGGGGAAACACAAAAATGTGCAGGGCTCCGGCCCCCCAGGACTGGAGTCTGACACCTGTGCTTTACAGAGTACAATTGTACAGGATATGTTTGTTACTGAGCGTGTGTTAATGTGTTATGGTTTTTTGATAGGTTTTAAAGGCACCTCTGATTTCAACGTGGTGGGAAATCAGTGGACAGAGATGTCGGTGGCGAAGGTGATGTTTCCTTCGCAGAAGCCTGCGGCTCCCGTCAGGCAGACACTGTTCGATGTGGCAGCGATGTGTCAATGTGTCGCAGGAAGGTGCGTTCATGAATATGTTTATATGATCGTAATGTAGACATTTTGTAAAATTTCGAAATTCGTGGATGAGCAGTTTGGAAAAGCAATGACTTTTTTTACTTTCCTATAGGTGCATTTGGTGAAAGCAAAGCTGCTGGCAGTGTCATTGGAGAAAGTTGTGACTGTTCGAGGCACGGGGAAAGCGGTCAAGAAGTACACAGTCTCTGATCATCTGATGGCACTGCCCAGATGAGTCTTTGTGTTTGGGAGAAGCAGATCGATGCCGTGGAGCCGCAGTCATGCTACGCCTTCACGGATGTTTCCACCACAGACACAGCGATTCAGAAGATTTGTGATATGGATGTCGGGGAGGTGGAAGGTGTAGCAGAAGAGGACTCTGTTATGACGGTTAAGTCTTCCGTTACTGGAGCTGAGATTAAAGCCGGCGTAAAGTGTGCCCTGTGTGGTAGCCTGCAGGACAGTTGGGCCACCCAGAGCCGGTTTTTTACGGTGCCAGAGTTGCAGGATGCTGCAGAAGTCGGGGGCATTTAGAGTATTACGTGGGACGTTAAAGGTCAAAAATGAGAAAAGGGCAGACTATACATTGACTGTTGGACACTGTAGTTTGGTGAAGTATTTAAAACTCCGAAAAATGACAACATTAATACACAAAGAAGAAGCTATTGAGGAACATCATCTTTGCGAGGATTGTCTTCAGTTTTCATTTGATAACGAGTGCAACGTCTGGTCTGACATTCCCGATACCACAGTCACTAGCTGCAGCGACGAGGCATGTAGCAAGTCGTCAGAGTAGTTTCCTTTGAAGTTTTTGTTGTATTAGCATGTTGTTTTGTTTTTACTTAATATATGTGTTGTATTGCTGTGAGTGTGACGTTTTTGCGATAAAGTTTGATATTTGTAACATTTTGTACATAGCCGTAGTTTACTTTGCATTAGTTTTTATTTCATTGTCAGTTTTCATTATATGAGAAGCTAATTCAGATGTTTGTGTGTTTTATGTGTAATAAAATAAAACGACGTCATATTGGCTGCATTTTTTTAAGTGGTTTGGGTTTACAGGCTACTAAGTACCCTAGCAGACAAATATGGGAATGGATGCGATGTGTGATCTTTACTATGATTTGGATTGTTCTATTTATGAAGAGGAAAGTCTATATAAGTAGTGAAATCGATTTCTCATCGTTTTTAAGTTGATAGGAATGTATAGCATTGTGGACTCGTTCAGACTATGGAGGTTGATCACGGAAAATTTTACGGTATTTGAAATTAGTAAAGTTTCCTCTTTATTTGTTTGGTTGTGGTACGCTGCACATCTTAGTATAAGAATGTTTATGGCGCAGAATATGTAATTACTTTTATTTTGGTACAGCACATTGACAGACAGTCACCACGAGAGGGAGCTATTTGTACGCTTGTGGTTGATTGGCTGACCGGACTACGCTTTGATGTCCGCCAAAGCAAAGCTAATCCTTTTTATTTTACTGCTACCCGTCTGAGAGGTAAGACAGTATATACGTGTAATGGTGTACATACTGTAGTTTGTGGTTAACGTTTGTAAAACATGATATTCTGTTGGATATTAACTTTTGATAGGAGATGGTTGATAAGGCACGTAAGCGGTTCGAACTGGGAAGGAGGTCGTTTAATCCGCGATTGTAGTACAAATTGTTTTTTGGTTTGCAACTGAAGCTACACGCATATTAAAGTGAACTTGTAATTTTTAGTAGGCTATTACAGCGGCTATTATTGGGTTATCTCCCACTGCAACGAGTAGTAATAACGTGGTTAAGAATTAATTCTGCACAGCAGTGAAGATGGGTTTTTGTCATGGAAACTTTGTTTGTTCTTGTAAAGCCAGAGATCGAATTTATCGACGGCAAAAGCCGCCGTGCCTTAGCAATTTGCCGTGCTGCCCTGAATATTTACAAGTTCTTGCCGGCAGATACTTGCAGTGCCCTCTTCCTCAGTTGCCTTTGTGCCCTATTGTGTATGTTTAGATCATAATAAAGTCAATAAACTTATGAAGTCAAGAACAAGTTCTTCCGTTTTTTACTTCTCTGTCTCCATGTCCATGATATCTAGGTTGATAAGCGCATCCCATAATTTTACGTTAGCCACGCCTCCATGGTTAAATTATTCAGAGCGGCTATTCTAGCCGATGCTTACCTCCCTCCGAAACTAATAGCAACATGTTCATAGAATAGGGAGGGTGAGAAGGAGAAAATGCCTAAGTGCCCTCCTATATTTGAGGGGATAAAAGGCAAACATTGCTGTGCCCCCCGAACAAAGTAATTCTACCCCTGTAAAGCATATACGATATGTAGAATAGTAGAAAAGTTGTCATATTTATTAACGAAGAGAGGGCCCTGTTTTTCATGGCCTGGGCGAGCCTAAGGCTTTGTATTTCACTGCTGTCCATGGAAGAGGTAAGATCATGTTAATGTATTAAAACGAGTTATTTTTTTAGTTGTTGACAGTTTCGTGTTTTCTGTTGGAAGATGGTAATGTTTTTTATATATTTGTAGTTCGGTGTTAGTTATAAAGGCAATACTCGCTATGGTGCCTAAGAAGCACTGGGAAGCATGTTGTTAAATCGCCATTTGTAGTACAAATGGTTTGTTGTAGTTTGCGACCGACACTAAATATAGTTAGCTTTTAATTTTTTGATAGCGGCAGTCATTAAGTTTATCTGACACTCGATTGGGAGGGACTTTTTTATGGTTGTTGTTAGGCGGAAGTGACCATGCCCTGGCTTCTACCCGAGCGAGGCTAATGAAGCCTGAAGTGACGACATGCGGGCTCATTTCTCGGAGATCCGAAAAATATCTCGGGACAGCAGAGTATCCCGAGTTCAGAATCCAAGATGGCTGCATCCTTTATCAACAGAAGGGAAAGTTGTAGTTTTATCCTGTATGAGCACTACTTCTCATTAGTGGCTCATGAAATCGGTCGCACACACTATATCGTCCAACTTATCTGTGGACGTGTTGCTACGGAGTTTTATACGTAAATCAACGCGAAATGTGTTATCAACTGATATTGCTTACAATTAACCGGGCTAGAATTGGATTTCATTATTAGTCGGATTATTTGTCGGATTTAAGGTAGTTAGGGCTAATTGTACGTGAACGAAGATAAAGACCATTTAAACTGAGGTACCTTAAATCCGACAAGTTGTCCGGCTAAGCAAAAAATCTTGCTTTTTCATATGAGTGCATGGTATTGCTACTTCTATGACAAATGGAAGGCATCCCCGACTTGGTTTTCGCTGAGTTTTTAGATGATGTGACGTAAACCTAAAAATCCTGAAAACGCATTCACTAAGGCACACCCCATAAAGGACCATCATGAGAACCAAGACATAAACCTGCGACAGCTTACATAAAACAATTTATAAATACCCTCTCGATAATGCATAAAAGCACCACATACATTTGTGTACTGCATCAAAGCTTTTTCACTTTGTGAGGAACCTCTATTTGAACGAGCAAACAAAAATAAATCACTAAATTATTGTCATCCCCGTGTGCCACGCCACCTCGTGCGGAATCGCTGTGTTTTACAAGCAATGACGTTAATGGCCGGACTCGGAATCACATAATTAACACACACTTCAATACATTGGACTAATCAACAACAAGGAGAAACACCCGGTAAATACTGAGATTCCACGCGAGGTGGCGTGGCAGACGTCACAGCTTTGCCGGCAGGCAGGAAGGTTTGTTCATGAATAAGTTCGTACTGGCAATGTACACCTTTTCTAAAATTTCGCAATTTCTGGACGAGGAGTTTAGGAAAAGCAATGACTGGTTTACTTTCCTTTGCTTGATAAACAACCGTGATTACGTGCGAGGGGGCATGGCACACGGGAGGATGACAATCATTTACTGTGTTTTATTTTCATTTTGTTGAAATAGAGTTTTCTGACAAAGTGGAAAAAGCCTTGATGCAATACACAAATTCATGTAGTGTTTTTATGGATTTTAAACTTACAAGCAGGTCAGTGTCGACCTTAACACGATAGCAAGATTAAAAAGTTACCAGTTACCATTTACCACCCCCTCCACCCCTTTCAGATGTGATTGATCAGTAATCAATTAGCAGCTACTCTCCGCGGAGTATAAATGTTGGTGTTGCCCTAATTGCCTTTTTTCCTATCATGGAGAACCCAACCAAAAAAGTAAAGACGGACATAGATCTAGTCAGTGGCTACATCCACGACGTATCAGCGATTAAATTTACTGTGAAAAATAAAGGCTTTTTTAATGCTTTGATACAAACTAGCCGTGAACAATTTCATGATGTAATTGTATTTAGCCAGAGAAAGCGGCCAGTGTACGTCCAAGTTGCTGAGAATGGTACTGGGGTGCGATTAACGAACATCAGGAAGACTGAGTGAGTTTTTACCGAGCATGCGTTAATGTTTTGGGTTTCTTTTGGCAGGTTTTAAAGGCACATCTGAATTTGACGTTCTGGGGAATCACCATATGGAGGTGTCGGTGACAACCGTAACACTTCCTTTGCGGAAGCCTCCTGCAGCTGCGAGGCAGACGCTAATGGATACCATGACTTTGCCGGCAGGCAGGAAGGTGCGTTCATGAATAAGTTTGTAATGGCAGTGTACACCTTTTCTAAAATTACACAATTTATGGATGAGGAGTTTGGAAAAGCAATGACTGGTTTTCTTTCCTATAGGTGGTTTTGGTGAAGGCGAAGGTGGTTGCAGCATCACCAGCAAAAACTGTCTCCATCAGAGGGACGGAGAAGGCGGTCAAGAGCTGCACGGTGGCCGACGGCACTGCCCAGATGCCTCTATCTTTGGGAGAGGCACATTGTGGTGCTGCGCTCCGCCTTCACCAATCTCACCACCAGAGTCTTCCAGGGAAAAGTGGAACTGACAACGTTGCACGCCGAAATTCAGTATATCGCCGATTTGAATAAGAGGTGGAAGACGTGCAGGAGGAATCGGGCGTGACTGTTAAAGGTCAAATGTGCTCTCTGCGGCAGCCGGCATGAGGCGTGGGACACCCATTGCAGGTTTGCATGCTGCCAGACCTGCAGGATGCTCCAAAAGTGCGAGTCCTTTGCAAAGGTACTGCGGGGAACTGTAAAAGTGAAAGCCGAGGACCGCACCGAGTACACACTGGCCATCGGGCACTCCCCTCTAACGGAGTACTTCGCACTACGCCTAATGACCACCAAAAAAGCCCTCATTGAGGAACATAATCTTGATGAGGAATGTTTTGTGTTTAGTTTTGATGACTGCAATGTGCTGTCTATGGACATTACTGATAGTGAAGTCCCTACCTGTAGTAACACTGTGTAATGAGTTGTAGTTTGAGTTTGTCAAGTTTTTGTATTGGCATGTTTTTGTTTACTTAAAATGTGTTCTGTTGCTGTGATTTATTATTATTATTTTATTATTTATTTTTTTTTATTTTTTTTGACATTTTGTAAATGGCCATATTGTATTGGGCATTTTTTATTTGACATCTCGGTTAAATACAGTGGGTACGGAAAGTATTCAGACCCCCTTCAATTTTTCACTCTTTGTTATATTGCAGCCATTTTCTAAAATCATTTAAAATATTTTTTTCCCTCATTAATGTACACACAGCACCCCATAGTGACAGACAAAAAAAAAGAGGAATTTTTGAAATTGTTGCAGATTTATTAAAAAAGAAACTTAAATATCACATGGTCCTAAGTATTCAAACCCTTTGCTGTGACACTCATTTATTTAACTCGGGTGCTTTCCATTTCTTCTGATCATCCTTCATCCATTCATTTGAGTCCAGCTGTGTTTGATTATACTGATTGGACTTGATTAGGAAAGCCACACACCCGTCTATATAAGACCTTACAGCTCACAATGCATGTCAGAGCAAATGAGAATCATGAGGTCAAAGGAACTACCTGAAGAGCTCAGAGACAGAATTGTGGCAAGGCACAGGTTACAAAAAAATTTCTGCTGTACTTAAGGTTCCCAAGAGCACAGTGGCCTCCGTAATCCTTAAATGGAAGACGTTTGGGACGACCAGAACCCTTCCTAGAGCTGACCGTCCAGCCAAGCTGAGCTACCGGGGGAGAAGAGCCTTGGTGAGAGAGGTCAAGAAGAACCCAAAGATCATTTTGGCTGAGCTCCAGTGATGCAGTCAGGAGATGGGAGAAAGTTGCAGAAAGTCAACCATCACTACAGCCCTCCACGAGTCAGGGCTTTATGGCAGAGTGGCCTGTCGGAAGCCTCTCCTCAGTGCAAGACACATGACGGCCCGCATGGAGTTTGCTAAAAGACACCTGAAGGACTCCGATGGTGAGAAATAAGATTCTCTGGTCTGATGAGACCAAGATAGAATTAAGGCCAAGAAGTTCTAAGCGGTATGTGTGGAGATAATCAGGCACTGCTCATCACTTGTCCAATACAGTCCCCACAGTGAAGCATGGTGGTGGCAGCATCATGCTGTGGGGGTATTTTTCAGCTGCAGGGACAGGACGACTGGTTGCAATCGAGGGAAAGATGAATGCGGCCAAGTACAGGGATATCCTGGACAAAAACCTTCTCCAGAGTGCTAAGGACCTCAGACTGGGCCGAAGGTTTACCTTCCAACAAGACAATGACCCTAAGCACCAGTGTTGTGCAAGTTCACACTTTTCATGATCTAGTTCAAAGTTCAGTTCACACATGCTCAAAGTGAACTGTTCACATTCATAGCTCACAATTTTAATTTTTGA